TTTCGTGGTCATATATTATATTAGATAATATCATTTAAAGTATTAAAGGTTTAAATTATTATGTTACATTATTAGATAATCATTTTAATTTAGAAAATTTCAAATTTTTGGGGATAATTTTCAAAGGTTGAAATTTATTGGGTTTTCTATTTTGTGGTTAGGTAATTGTTTTAATTTAGGAAGGATCAAATTTTTGCGGTTTTAGTTGTTTCTCGAATTCTTCTGAAATTATTATTCGTTTTCTATTTCTATTTACTTTATAAAATATTCCATTTTCGACTAAGACCTTTTTTGAATCCTTTTCTAAATTTTTATTTGTTTGTTGATCCTGTCTTACATGGTCGATAGTGACGAAGTTTACCGTTGTTACCAGTTCTTCTAAATCGTCTAAATTAGAAAGAACTGGATTACGTGAAAGGCAATCTGCTTCTATGTTTCCTTTTCCAGGTTCGTATTTAATTTCGAAATCAAATTGGGACAGAAAATTCATCATGTCCCCCAATTCTTCATCCGTTCTCGATCGAATACTCTGACCTTCAAGTGGTTTATGGTCAGTTATAATTAAAAATTTCTTTCCAATAAGCCAATATTGCCAATACTTGATGGCTTCTTTTATGGCCAGACATTCTAGAAATATAGCTTTCTTTTTCTTCTGGTATCTGTTTAGCTTCTTTGAGAAAAAGGCAACAGGTTTTAGTTCGCCATCTGGTTGTTTTTGCTTTAGCACAGCTCCAATACCTTCTATACTGGCGTCCGTGTAGATAACAGTTGGTGCGTTCAAATCAAAAATTGCCAATATTGGTTGTGAACAGAATAAGTTTTTGGCTTCCGTAAATGCCCTTTGACAATCTTCCGACCATGAGAATTGAATGTCTTTCCTGAGTAAGTTTTGTAATGGTTCCAACCGTCGTGCTGAATCTGCAATGTATTTATGGTAAAAATTAATCTTCTCCAGAAATTGGCGAATTTTCTTTCGGGAATCTGGGCATCGATCACGTAAGTTTTCCACTAGAACGAATCAGTGAGAAGTGACGAATCTCATTCGGATTTCATCATTTTGTGATCACATAAATATGATTCCGGTGAAGACGTGAGATATTTAACGTGAAACTTTTCACCATCAGCCGAGATGGTTAAACGGTGAAATTCTAGTGATATTCTTGTCATCTTATAACTTACTTAGCATATCATTGATAAAATGGAGGCTGTTTTTTGGATTGTTAATCTCGTCATAGAAGAAAGACAAAAATTAAAATTAATGCGGAGATACTTACGTGATGTTTCGGATCCATTCAGTGTGCCTGAAAGTCAATTCCTTCAATTATATAGGTATGTATATGTACATATGCATGTAAATTAAAACAAAATATATGAAATTGTACATAATGCATTGATGCCTTAGTATTTATTTTATAATAATAATTTAAGAGTATTATTATTTCCTTATACATATAACCATTTACGTTTAATTGAAATCTATTTTGTATGGGTTTTCTGTGCAGGTTAAGTAAAGAATGTGCACTAGATTTATGCAATAATTTACGACCTTATATGCCACAAGAACAACGCTCAACTGCAATACCTCTAGAATTAAAGGTGTGACACATTACGTGTATTATTATATTAAATAATAAAGAGTTAACGCGTTCGTAAAAAATTATTTAAGTATAATTTTTATATTATTTATACTTTTAGGTTTTAGCAACTTTAAATTTCATAGCTTCAGGCTCATATCAAAGAAGAGTAGGACAGGATTTCTTGTCATGTATGTCTCAAGCGTCTGTAAGTGGAACAGTTCACGTAGTAATAGAAGCTCTAAATCAAATAATAGACCAGTATATCAAGTTTCCAATAGATGAGCAAGATATCAAAGCCGTCAAAAAGCAGTTTTGGGACAACTACCGATTTCCTGGAGTAATTGGTGCTATTGATGGGACTCA